AAAGGAAGCCTCAGAAGGAAAACAAGTACAAGAAGAGCTATAAGAAACAAGGCAAGAGTTAGAAACCTGGTTTAAAAGCAAGACAAGAGAGAAAATGTTGTTAGCATAACCATCCTGGGTGGGGGCAAACAAAGTGTGATCCCTGTATTTTTTGGCCAGAGTAAAGGTGGCAAAAGGAGAACTTAAAACAGTGCGGGAAGAAAGTGGTGCCCAGGTAGAAAAGGAGGAGGTGTTGGAGGCGACAAGAAGATTTTATGAAGAGCTATACCAGAAGAAGGAAACAGACAGGAAGAAGATGAATTTCTTGGCAAAGATTGAAGAGAAAGTAGAGGAGGAAACAAAGAAAATGGAAGAAAATATAAATTTAAAGGAAGTGGAGAAGTGTTGAATAACCTTTAAAAAGCAAATCAGCAAGAACTGATGGAATACCTATGGAATTTTATGAGAAGTTTTCAACATGGGTAGGAAGGGATATAGTGGAAGTGCCTGAGAAAATGGCAGAAACAGGAGAGGCAGGGAAAGATTTTACAAGAGGTGCTGTGATCTTGAAAAAAAAACAGTGCAGCAAAGGTGTTGTGATCTTGAAAAAGATTTTACAAGAAATATTGTGATCTTACTCTTGAAGAAAGGGAAGAAGGACATCTTTAAAAACTGGACACTGATTACACTCCATAATATAAACTGTCAGTTAACGGCCAAGACAGTGACTCTGAGGATGAGCAAAAACCTCAAGAAGATAATACATGAAGACCAAGTGTGTGCAGTATCAGGTAGAAGGATCTCTAAAGCGATCAGCTCCAAGAGAAGAAAACAAACACAGTTATAGCAAACCTGGATTTAGAAAAAGCATGACAGAGTGGATCATGATTACATTACCAGATACTAGGAAAAATGGGGTTCCCAGACAAATTTATATGTTGGATAAGGTTGTTGTATAGAGAAGCAAAGAGTCAAGTCCAAATTAATGGAAATCTAAGCAGAGCCTTTGACATCCATATAGGGGTGAAACAAAGGTGTTCCCTGTCACTACTACTGTTTGTGTGTGGCACGAAACCTTAGCACAAAGAATAAGAAAAGACAAAATCATAAGCAGAGTAAAAATACTGGGAGGAGGCGAGGTAAAATACATACTATACTTGGATGATATAAATGTAGTAGTTAGAAATAGCCTTTCAATAGAAAGGGTGCTACAGCATACATCAGAGTATGGAGAAATGACAGAGGCTAAACTCAATAGATCAAAAAAGCACCATAATAGGAGCAGGAAACTGGAAGGACTTGGAGATGTTGGGCCTTAAAATAAGAGAGGGAGAAATCAGAGTCCTAGGGATCCTGATGGGCGCCAAGGGGAAAGGTAATACAGTATGAGAAAAGGTGACAGTAAAGCCATGGCAAATACTTTGGTTATGGTCCAGGAGGACACTGTCCTTTTCCAGAAAAGTGGTGGCATTTAAAGCTGTGCTACTTCTGATTTTATGCACATGCTGACCTAGCATAGACGGTTGTAAGAAATATCTTGCCAGTGGGAGAAGTGCAACACAAATGGAGCTTGACGAGCTCATCAAGGTGCCTGAGGAAGAGACACAGGGACGAAGAAACAGTGGAACATGTTTTGGGAGTGTACATATGCAAAGGGGCATGGGAAAGGGTCTGCCACTTTTGAGTGTCGACAAAATAAATGTGTCATATGCACGGGAGATGGTACTATATGGACTTGTACCAAGAGGACTGGAAGAACCATTGTTAAGGACTTCATTAGCATGTGTTAAAACTAGTTTATGGAAAGTAAGAAACCTCTGGGTGTTTAAGGAGTTGGCTTTCACTGAAATAGAGTGCCTGAAGCTGGAGCTGCATTAACTGAACTACTACATTGATCTGGACAAAGAAGAGGTTGGAGTGGAAGAGGCAGAGAAGAAGTAGAAGAAAAAGGACTGGATGCTTGTTTTGCTAAACCAACAAAGAATGATCGGAGGGGTTGAGAGTTTCAGGTAGTTACTGAGGTAATTGTTTTTTCATGGGTTTCTGTATGAAAAAAAAGTTTTCTATAAGGGTTTGTTCTTTTGTGAGAATGTGATGCGTGTTGTTTAAGGGTTTAATATATGTAGCTTTATGCTTCTGATATGTAGTTGTTTCTGTGCTATGAAGTCTGGTAAAACAAGGATGTGCAATATGTGTAGCTTTGTAAGTGTAGGGTGATGTGTGTTTTTAATAACGTTTGTTTTAAAAAAAAAAAAAAAAAGTTACCATCTGGATATTTACTCCATGTGGGTCATATGTTTTATAGTCATCTTCAGTGTTGGCTGCATATAATCAACATCACAGTTGGTTTCCATTACTGAACATATGCTGCTTTTGGCAGCAATTTAATGATGGAAAATATATTTAGTGAGTTTTCCTTGCGTGTGATTTCCCCTATGCTGATTGCCATTGTAGAGACTAGCTTAGTTCTGGAGCAAAATAGACCCCACACCAGAGCCATGTTAAAACAGACTGTGCCATGGATCCAGACCAGAGATATGGGATGGAAAATTTTCCAGTGTTTTCTTTTTCTGTGGGGAATTTTACATTTCCAAAAATTCATTGTTTCATAAAATTCATTAGTAATAATGAATGGGTGCCAATGCAATATTAGGCAAGTTCAATATTGGCAGTTTCAAAGTTGTAATTAATGTTTTTCAGGTGATTATCCCTAGGAAGTGTGAGAGAGAGTACATACATATTTTACTGATTTGTAAACAGGAGGGTAAATACACTCACATAATAATGCAAACATCAAGTTATGAATTCTCCTAATTGGCTGTGCAAGTCAAATCAAAACCAAATCAACACTCTGCTAAGCTAGTTTCTTTTTCTCAAAATATCTTGCTTCTGGAGAATCAGTCAGAATTACAGTTCATGGAGAAAATGCAGTGTGATGATAAGCTGCCCTTGCCCATAGACTCATTGGTAAAACCATCCTTTAGCGAAAGAAATGTGGTTCAAGTAGTTCTGAATTAGATTTGCCTCAATCTCATTCTGAAATGAAACTAATAAGTAGTGCAACTGATTCTACAGATAGTGACAGTGAAACTGGAGGTGCCACAAAGCCTTAGAGGAAGAGAGTTAAACTCTGTTGAAGTAGATGAGTGGACAACCACAGCATACCATTCACAGTTCTTTGGGTATGCTAAAATTAGTGTGTTAACAGTTTTCAGTGCCTTCTTTTTTTTCTTAAACAAACAATATAGGGGAAGTACATGCTATTGTGTATTGTATTTACATTTTTACAAGTATTCGAATAAAAATAATTTCTTTCCACATAAAGCTTTGAATTTGTTTGAATATAACATTTAAGCAACATTAAGTATGCTGTATTTATTTTTTCTCCTAATCAAATATTTCAGTTCAAATATTTGTGGCTATTGGGACATAAAATTAACATGGGGGTATTTTTTTAGTTTTGTTTACTACATATAAGTCAAATAAACATGATAAATCACATCATGCTCTATTTAGGGCATTGGAAATTTTTCCAATTCAAAATTTTCCAGAAAACCCACATCTCTGATCCAGACCATGCCATGACAAAAAATACAAAACCTGACAACATATCTCCACCACACCCACAATTACTACACCCTATAACAGAACCATTAGCATTCCTGGATCTTACAGCTGCATCTCCAGAAATGTGACACAGTAAAAGATCTGTTATCTAGCATCCCCTGGGAATGGGGGACGTCAGATAACAAAATATGCCAGTTAACTGAGTGGCCCCGGCTGCCACTTCTCATGCCACGTCTGAAGCGTTCCTCCACCCCTCCCATGGCATCACCGACACTCCTGTGGGGCCCACAGGGCCCTGCTGGACAGGAAAACAGGTCCCACACAGCCCCCCACAGCTTGTTATGCCCCTGGGCCATGGGGGCTTGGCAGTGCAGGCTGCTTTGCCCCAAACCACGGGGGCTCGGAGAAACTGGAAGTGCCACAGTGGGCACTTCCCGTTTCACTTTATCTTACAAGCCAGCATGCCAGCTAGTGGAGCACGCCAGCTTCTAAGATGCCAGATAACAGTACTTTTACTGTATATCTCATCCAGTGCACCAAATTCCCTGATGGAAAATACATAGGAGAGACCAAACAACAACTGTGCACCACAATGAACACACACTGGAAATCTATCAAAGACAAGAATACCCAATTACTTGTGGGGGCACATTTCTCACAAGAAAACCACCCTCTCTCCAATCTCTCAGTTCTAATCCTCAAAAGGAATTTACAAAACACCTTTCACAGTCAAACCTACGAACTTCACTTCATAAATCTACTAAATACAAAAAATAATGGACTAAATATAGATGTTGGATTTATGACATATAGCCTTCCTAACATCTGACACCCCAGTATCTCTCCACTATTTATCAGCTACATTTCCACTCCCCCACCCACCCACCTCCAACCTCTCACTCACTGACTCCTCAATTTACATCTTCACTGACTGGCTTTCTTGCATGTGTACCAGCCTATGGCTTCTTCACTATTCATTCCATCCAGGAAGACCACACCAACTGCAGATGCTTCCTCAGCCTGATGAAGGGTATTTATACCCAAAAGCTTGCAGAGAAGAATTTTCCCAACTATTTGAGTTGGTCTAATAAAAGATATCAGACTTACCCAAACAACGTTGTCTGTCTATGTCCTTAGACCAACACGACTACAACATATGTCCCTTTAATATAATATAGAATCGTACCCATGTCACAAAAATCCCAGATTAGCATTCTGACAGCTGGACCAGTTTTCTCAGCCCTCAGCTCCTGTCACAAGTTTCAAATTGACAAAAAGTAAAGGAGATTTTATGAAAAAAAGTTTACTCAGAAAATTATGCTAAGTCTTTTCTTGGTAAACTGAGAAGCTTAGGTGGCCTTGCTGAGCCTAGCAAGACTCAGGGAGGGGAATACATACTTTAAAATACCCACAAGCTGCCTTCAATGTTCAAGAAGAAAAGCTGCCATTCTTACTTGGAAGATATTGGAGAAATCTCGTAGATTGAAAATGTAATGAAATTTGATAGCTGTTGGCAAAAACATAGCAGCTACTTTCTGGTGCAGACCAAGTGCCAGGGTTATTAGTTGCTGAGCAGATTTCTGCAGAGGCCCAGGGAAATTCTCACTTTTCAGATGCTGAGTTAAGATGGTGCTGTAGATGGTGGACAAAGCATCTGATCCAGGAAATGAGAGTGCAAACACACTGAAGTGACGCTGAGGAAGAGAACGAAAACACAAACAAATTTATAGTTTTATTGGCCTCATTTCTAAGTGAAATGGGCTTGGGCATTGCTCAGAAACCATTTTTAACAAAATAATGCACCTCGGTAAAGAAGATTAAGGAGTTAGAAGATTAAGGAGGCCAACTCCTTTCATGAAGTGCTTGTCAAGAAATAGGGGCAAATTCTGCTCTCAATTCTGTATGTTCCCATAAACATTCAATTGATGTCAGTTCAATATATGTACATAGCTGTTGAGGGCAGAATTTAATCCTCATGCAAAATATATTGCTACTGTATAATTATCATGGTCATTCTTGCATATCCCTTCTGAGTTTCTCTGTTTTTCTCATAAAACTAAGTTTGATTCCATACTTCTTGCTGGCAACGTAACTGCAAATTGCTGTATACCTGATCATGAACTAGCAATGCCCTAGCCTCTTTGAGACTCATTTGGTAAGTACTACCCTTCAATGCCAAGAGAAGAAAATCTTCTAATAATAGAACGCTTTTCTCAAGTTACGTAAGAAACATTGCAATTGCCAGATTGACTCAGACTCAAGGTCCATAAAACAAAGAATCTTGTTTTTCACAGTAGCTAACCCCAAATGTATTACAGGAAGAGACAAGCAAATTCAAATACATCAAATGTGGGGTACCTTGTCCCCTGTGCTAGGGCTCTGCCTCATCTGTAATAGACGATCACTTAATCCCTACTACAGATTTAATACCTGTTGCAAAATTTAGACTACCATATACTTTCATAATTTTTAAATTGTATTTTATGTTGTTGGTGCCAAAAATGTAGCTAACTTTTATAAAGCAAGACAAAAGGGCTTGAGTGAATACAATCAAAGGGTTAAATATTTAATACTTAAAAGAATATTCTAATTAAAATAGTTTAATTTAAAATAAATGTGTAAGGCCTTGGCAGCTGTTCTGAAACCAGGTTTGGCTGGCTGGAAGAAGTCTTAGTCCAGCTCTAGCTCTAAACAGTACTATGTTAAGAAATACAGAAGTGAAAGACCAAAAATAAGGGCATAAGGAACTATTCTACACTCAAGTCTGCCAACACATTGACTTAAAAATGAATTTATATTGATGTTATTGACACTAGAATATGGCCATGAATCTTTATTAAGGCTAAAGTATTAATTTCAGGGTCATAGCTACTATTTTCTCCTACAGGTGATTTTTAAGAATACTTTGAAGATATTCTAACTATGCTAAAACCATAATGTAATTAGCAATATGTCTGTACCTGAAGACGTGAGTTGATTGTGAAACTCCCTGCAGTAGGGTTCATACATGACACATATTGCACGTTCATGATCTCTTTCAGGGACAATTTGTTTCGGTCATACCTTTTGCAAAAAAGAAAAAAACAAAAGACAAGAAAAAAACAAAAAAACAAAAACATTACAATAATTATAGTAGTACCATGCCACCTATGAGCATCTGTCTGCTAAATGTGTTTGAGTGCATCTGTGACAGTTTTTCACTTACACATCTGTCAGTCCTGCTACAAAGTAGCACAGAACAGTGCCAGACCTGGCATATCAGACCAGCCTAGACCAAGGGTGGGTAAAATACATCCCATTGGCCAGATCCAGCCTGCTAGGCACTTTTATCTGGCCTGCAGCATACACCAAAGAATTGTACCCTGCCCAGCCTTTCCACGCACAAGGGTGGGAGCAAGGCATCCACATATACCTATGCCCCCAACATACCCTATTGCGCCTCACTCCCACCCTTGGGAACGGATGGGCCAGGCCCAGCCAGCAGGCAGCTTCCAGACAGGGCTGCTGCTGCAGCCACCAGGGACCTGCTCAGATCCCTTTGCATCCCATTCACTCTGGGCAGCAGGTATGGAAGTAGCAGGGGTGGAGCTGCAGCTAGGTGGGAGAACAGAGAATGGGGTTGACAGCAGCGCACAGCCCACACCCAGGGGTTGGCAGCAGTGCAGAACTCGGGTGGGTATCTTGTGGGTGTGAGGACCCCCTCCCACATCCCCCTATGGTACACAACCCTGGCAGGCGGTGGCAGCAGCACCAGCAGGCGGGGGAGGGGGGTACTTGTGCATCTCTGGGCAAATCCCTTCTAGGTGAAAGGGCCTAGAACAGGATTCCCCACATCTTGGGTGAATGTTTTAACCACTCAGGTATTGGAGCTAAAATGTGGAGAATCGTTCTTCTCCATCTAACATCCTCTAGTCACAGGTTTCTGGCTTGATATGATCTTGGGCCGCCTTCCCCCTCTTCTCCCATGCCTTCTGGCTTACAGGTCCAAGAACAACAGCAAGCAGCAGCCAGTGCAAGGTGTCCTGGGAGCTGTAATTCTTTAGAGCAGCAGTGGAGTTTGCTGCTGCCAGGATAAAACTTTCATCCCTTTTTGCCACCAAAGCCCATGTTCAGAGGGAAAAAAAATGTTGACTTTGGAAGCAAAAAAGAAAAAGGGGTCAATTCTGCCCTACTGCAATTCTCAAAAAAACTTGTGCTCTATGAGACACATTCCCTGCACCAGCTGCTTCTTGTAACTGGAAGTACAGGTAGAGTGAAGCAGCCAGGAGTCCTGGAGCGAGGCACTCTCCCTCCACCCTTCTGGTGCCTCTCCCCTTAGGCAGCATCCATGACGCAGGTCCCTCACCCCCCCACTTTACACTACTGGTTGGATATTAGGAAGAACTTTCTAACTAGGAATGTGGTTAAATACTGGAATTAGATTACCTAGGCAGGGAGTGAAATTCCCATTACAGGAAGCTTTTAAGGGCAGGTTAGTCAAACATTTCTCTAGGATAGCTTAGATAGCAATGTTCCTGCTTTCACCAGAGAGATGGAGTAGATGACTCTACATGTGCCTAGCAAAAGCATGCATTCAAGAACAGCAAACAGGTAAGCCCTCCATTTATAAATAAGGACAATAACAATTCAGTTTCCATATGTAGTTATATTGATTCAATATGGGATTTGCCCTCAACAAGAAATTTTGCCCTTGTAAGAAACTATTTACAATGTTAAGTTTAGGCATCTGACTTTTCTGAAACTACTTCAAAATGAGGTAGTTTAATATGGGAGATAATTGGATAGGCAGTAGCACTGCCAAGAAGAACCTGGGAGTTTGGCTGGAGTACAAACTCAAGCAGAATCAGCAATGTGAAGTTGTCACAAAAGAAGCAAATCCAATTTGGGGCTGTGTTAACAGGAGTATTATATGCAAGACATGGGACATGATAGCATCACTTTATTCAATAATGGCAAGGCATCAGCTAAAGTACGGTGTGCAGTTCTAGGTTCTGCATTTTAAAAAGGATATTGAGAAAATGGCGATTATCAAGAGATGAGTAATAAAGATGGTAAAAGTATTAGAATAAAACCTGCATGAAAATAGGCTTAGAGAAAAGGTCAGTAAAAAGATTAGGGGAGATATAATAGCAGCTTTCAAATATTTGAAAGACTACCATAAGGTAGAGAGAGAACAACTTTTCTCTCTTGTTGCAGAGACCAGGACATGAAGTAAGGGGGTAAACTGCAACACAGCAGATTTAGATCAAATCTCAAAAAAAAAGAAAGAAAAAAAAAACCCTTCCCTAACCATAAAAGTAGGAGAATGGAACAAGCTCCCCAGGAAACTTACAGAATCTCCTTCATTGGTGCCTTTCAAAAGAGTCTGGATAGGCACTTGTCTGAGATGGTCTCGAAATAGGGTACCTATTTGGGCAGGGGTGGCGGGGGACTGAGTGACCCTTTGCAATCTCTTCCAACTCTACATATTAATTATTCTAACTCGATGTCAACAAAATTAAACAAGTATTGCCAGCTTTTGAGTACATACGTTTTGGAACAAGAGTGATTAACAGTTAGTGGGCTCATCTATATGTGCGATTAATATGTGCAAATAAAACCTCTGGAGTTTACTGCTCCTGGGCATGCCATTTGAAAGTAAACCCGGAAGCAAAAAACTCCAGAGCACATTGCTATGGAGTTTATTGATGTGCAGCATGTGGAACCCCAGAGCAGTCTAGGCTGGTAGGCGACTTGGCAAGTGGGTCTGCCAACCCAAGACTGCTCTGATGGGGCTCCACATGCTGCAGAAGCGGTGGCTGAGATATGCGGGTGCCTTAATGTGGGGCTAGCCAGCAGGTAGCACCCTCATGCCCCAGCCAGCCCTGTCATCATCTATACATGTGCTGTGGTGCACAGAACAATGTTGTGTGTTGGTGTTTGACAGTGTTTGTTAGTCCACTGACCTAATAGGGTTGCATGTGTAGACAGTGACATTTTACTGTGGAGCTAATTAGTCAGTTTAAGAGTAAACAAACTGTGTAAACACACCCTATGTATGTTAATGAGTCCTCCACTGACAAAAATAAATACATCATGAGCATTTCCAGCACTGTAATAGTATACAAAAGGGGCAAAACTAGAGTCTTTTCACTCTAGGACTCTTCCTGTACTTTAGACTTGTTTTCAAAGAGGGAAGGCACGAGGTTTTAACAAGGGCAGAGCACCCGTAGAGCCTGAAGGCTTAGAGGTAAATTGTAAATCTAAGGTCCACTCTAAAAATTATATTTATGCAGCAATTGTGTTTGTCATGTCATAAATGAGAAGAGTGCTTCACATGCACCCTATTTAAGGTACCATAAAATGGCAAATGAACCAGAAAATTTTCTGCATATAACATAGAACATGTTTATGGCTGGTTTGTATGCCACCTCAAAAGTAACATGCAGTTGGAGTGGACAATTAACTGGCTGTCAGCCCCTTATGAGGTTATGAGTCAAAAGGGGAGCCAAAGGGCTTCCTCACTGGTAGCATTAAACCTCATGTGCAGCAAGTCTAATTGAGCTGACAGGTGCACGGTTTAAAGTCCCCCACAGAGAAGCCCTTTGGCTGCCCTGCCAGGAGTCTCTAATCCCCCGTACCCAGTAGTCCTGCCAGAGCTGCCAGGCATGAAATTTTGATAAGCCATGGACAGACAAGGGATAGGGGCTGAAAAAACCCAGAGCTATCCACACCAGGGCCTAAAATCAAGTAATTTTCAATCCCCAACCCAGAAAGCTCTAGGTCTGAAAACTGAACCCAGAGCTGTTCAGACCACTCCAACCATCAGTTGATTTTCATTCCCGCGTGTGAGTTTCTGTGTCTGGCTTTCAACTTGCCATTGCAGGAGGAGCTTTGGCTCACAATCATGGGCTCCACCTGCACTGGCATGCAGTAATAGTGAGATTGGGATCTAATTCCTGATCCCAAAATCACGTCTTGTCATGCACACATGATATGAAAGGAAGCGTGATTGCTAGGATTAGATTTCAAATCACATAGCACTATAAAATGAATGTAGGCCAGGAGCCTAACACTGTGCTGCCAAGTCTGACTGTGATGATGGAGGTGCTAAGCTGTGAAGAGAATGTATGTTAGTTATGCAAAAGGCTGTGTGGTGAGCCAGTTAAATGACACCCAGCAGGGTTCTTTGGAGCATGGCCCATAGTGGCAGTTGTGTGTGGGCAGCAGGAATCTGCATATCAAATAGATGCTTGATACAGCATCCATTGTCTTATGCATGCAGAGTCATGGCTAGAAAATGATATTTAGAGATTTGCCTTTAAGAATTGCATGACAGTTAAAATAGATATTGAATTAAAACAATGGTCCAAAGCAACAGCAAGGGTTAATTGGTTTCTAAAAGCCTGTTTGTGACAAAGTTTCCTTCAAGGCCACTGTGTCTGAAGCCAGCAGACAAATAAGCTGAGAAACTGAAGACATGTATCACACTGTTTCCTGAAAACCCATAACAAAGATAAGGGAGTCTGCAGCACTGGCTAAGTCACAGTGACCAGCTGCAGAGCCCCTAGGATTTCTGGTTTTGGTGTATGGACCAAAATAGGAGGCTGGGCATGCCCAAAGTAAGACACTAGTAAATGACCATATTAAGATGTATTCATATGATGGGTCAGCCCTCAACCTCCAAGACTGTTAACATTCAAGAAAAAAACCCACAGGGTCAAGCTCACCTACTGGCCAGGCATACCTTTCCTCTGTGAACCCTAGGACTGGTAGATATAGAATGGGGGAGGGGGGTTATTTTGTTCGCCTTGCCTATACTACTCGCACCTGCTATCACTGAGTATCAATAAAATTTGCCTATTATCAAATGAAAGAAGTTATGGTCAGTTGGAGGGCTTGGGTCTACCTGGAACAAGGTATCTGGGTCATAAATCCAGTGCCAACATGGAATGAGGTGTTAGGAAATCAGGGAAGAGAGCAAATCTCACTTAAATAACTTCTTTTATATTTATTTAATATATGCTTCATCTCTTTCCATCCCCTCTCACAGCCCACAAAGCAAGAATCCTATTCCTTGTCACTTTGCTTCTTTTCATGTATCCCTCCGGGGTTTTTTATCTTCACAATAAGCCCCTTGCTGAAACCAAGGGTTTGCAGGAATTGTCCTGATCTGGAAAGTACACTAGGGAGCAAACTGCAATGACTCCCTCAACATTACCCTATAGAGGTGTTGTATACTTGCTGCTACTGGCTTCAACAATATAAGCTGTATCTTTTAGAATACTGCAACAGTTTTTTTCTTCAAGTTACTTATGTCAGGAACCATTCTTTCTTGCTGATTCATAATAAAAAAAAAATCATACAGACCTTTTAAATTACAGATGCAGGATCCAGTAGTAAAAATCCTACCAAACAGATACTAATCAAATACCTGGTGCTACTCTTTGACCTCTACCGGGGAGCATTTATAAGATGCAAAGGCTTATCCATAAAAGCCTACAATTAAACAAGCTTGCAAACTGCTATTGGATAGGAGTAACAAGAAACTACAGAATGCATGGGCTTGTCCAGATGAGAATGCACACACATTTCCCTGGGGACAAATAGCAACAGCATATAGTTGTGCCACTGCTACTTGTCCTTGGGGAATGCTCCTGCACGTGGACTCTGGTACATGGCAAATTACCCTGGTGCAGTAGGGGACGCTGGGGCAAGCACCTGGGCTGGCCCCAGCAGCCTTACCTACAGTCCTGGGTGCCTCCCAGGTCTGCAGCGATGACAATCTGGATGCATAGAGCCTGTCCGGCAGCCAGAGTGTGGCTGTGGCTGGCCAGGCCCCAGTTTTGAGAGGCACATGCTGCAGCCATGTGTGCCGCTCCCTTTGCTTTTTTAAGCCCTTTTTTTAAGATTCTGGGATTTCCCAATATCTAATTTTGATTCTGTGCTGCAAATATGCAGTGCAGAAAACCTTTTAATGTGTGTGGGGTGTGTTCTGTGGTACCTCAAAAGCCTTTGAGGAACCACAAAGTGCATGTGGCTGCTCATTTAGATGTGCTCTATACGACTAAGATTTATCCCAGTGGCTCTAAGGGAAGGGGAACTCTAGTCCAAGACATCAAGAGCATGTCTGTTGCTAAACAGTCAGTTAAGCCAGGCAAAGGGTTATGGAAATAATTTGATTTAAAAAAGAAAATGCCAAACCCAATACTAGATTAACAGCAAAGAGATCATGAATAAAGGTACCCAGGAAGTTACCTACCAGTGGCCATAGTCCAGGTGTTGCCTGATGAGTGTATGGGGCTGTACTGTCCCGTATGTGTCTACTTCAGGCATATTCATATCATCAATGAAGTAGATGAGCTTTTTGGTGCCAGGTGGACCATAATTCTTACCAGCCTTTTTATCCAGAGGCCTCTCAAGTACAGCTGTAAGGGAGCAAATGTAGAAAGTTAAAAATGCTGAGCTATACTCACCATTGATGTGAACAGTGAGGTACATAACATGCTTGTTGTAAGCCAGTCACCAAGTGGTCGAGTCCACTCATGGTGAAAACACAAAGGGTTTAATAGTACATCTTAGAGACACGGGTTTAAACTGACCTTGCTTGCAATATCAAGCAATGCCTGGAGGACACAGGTGGGATGAAACGTGATTGAAAGCTGTGTTGCCCTGACCAAACTATCTTTGGCCTGTTACACAGGAATTAAGGGTTGGACTAAACAGTCCAGAGGTAGCAAGCTGAGGAAGTCCAAACTTGTGGAATGGCTTGAACTGGCCATCGTATTACCAGAGTATTTGTTACCTTCCTTCCTTTTTATATTAATAACAACAAACCTCAGGAAAGAGATGGAAATGTTTCTCCCACACAAGGTGTACAGTACTTTGTCCCAGGACTCTTATTATTGGGGAAGCTTGTAACAGTGACTGAATAGGAATTGAAGAGCTAAGTAGCACAATCCAGAGCTAACCCTCACCTAAAGTGGCATAACTTTGAGATGTTCAGGGGGCATTTAGCATAAATAAATGAGCTTCAAAGTACAGTTGTGTGTATTTTAAGTCCCCTTAGTTTGGTCTATATTTAACAAGTAACTTCACCCTGCGTGGTACTAACATGAGATATGGTAAATTTTTTCAGGTTTTCTTTTTGGTAGGGGGAAAGGGGAAGAAAAGAAAAACTGGGTTTGTTTTATAGCATGAGGCCATGAGAAAGCTAGATAAATATTTAACAAAAATCACAGCCATGTAATTGAACCAAGAATCTTTTATTTCATAAGTTATCAGCTCCTCAGAAACTGAAGCAAACTTTATTGCATTCACTTGCTGCAAAAACAACTAAATAATTATATTCTACAGATTTTTTTCCTAATGGTTGTTTATTTTGGGAATGCATTTCCTCTTGAGAGCACACAAAAAGAGGTAATTCTTTAAAATTACAGCAAATTGGAAAGAAAAAAATTGGCTCTGGGAATTTTAGAATGTCCGTTTGTTAGAATGTATATTTAATTCACATATTATGTAGAAAAGTTAGTAAGGGAAATTTATATTTTCTTTCTTCCAGAACACCAATTACAGGCATATATGTTTTAAAATATTTTCTCTTCATTGCATTTCACATGTCTTTCCTTCTACACTATTCAGAATTCAGATAATTTCTTGCCTTTTGGCAGTTTGCTGCACAAAATAACTTAAAGCACTAGGAAAATATGAATGTTTTGAATTATGAATATTACTTTCTTCAACAAAACCATAATAGCTGAAATTTCTGGTAGCGTGGAGTGTTTCAAATATGCATTTAATTTAAATGTAATTAGTGTTTAGTTAGCATATAAAATCAGCCATTATGAGGTTAAACTAGTACGCAAGAGATTCATCAAAATGATATGCGATTACTGAGGATCAAGTGACATACTTGTGAAAGAAGGATTTTAATTTGAACCAATAACTCACAATAAAAATATGTTTATGCATGTGGGGCCACATGATGGACAGCCCTCACTTCCAACCAGCAGTGAGGGACAGGGATATATGACAGGCAGCCCTTGTAGCCAATCAGCAGCAAGGGGCAGGGATACTAGGGCCCTTTGGCCTATCAGAGGTATGGCAGGGTGGCACACCCTGCCCATGAAATGGCTGTTGGACCCTGCATTCTGCCTCCGAAATCAGTGGGCAGCTGCCTCAAATTCAGTAGGTCTCTAATCATAACCACCCTCAGCCTACTCCTTCCCAAACTGAAGGGTCCTAAGCTTTCTGGTCTCCCCTGGTGTGCCATCTGTTCTTACCCCTAATCATTCTGGTTGCCTTTCTCTGTACCTCTTCTAATTCTACTATATTTTTTTTTTTTTTTTGAGATGCAGAGACCAGAACTACACAGTATTCAAGATGCAAGCACGTCATAGATTTATTAAGTAAATGATATTTTCAATTCCCTTCTTAATGATGTTCAACACTGATACTGACTTTTGACATGGACTAATGATACATACTGATATATACTACTGCCAACAGTTCTCTATTTTAATATTTGAGTTTCTTCAGAACTCTCAGGTGAATGATGCCTAATCCCAGTGGCTGGTCCATGGGCCAGATCAGGCCCTGCAACACATCCCTTAGCTCCAGTCAGGGCCTTGCACCACTTCCCTCAGCCCTGTGCAGTCAGACTGGGCGCCTGCAGTGCCTTTTTGGAGCCCACACTGCCTCTAGCCGGCATCTATGTACCTGGATCAGGCCTGGGCCACCTCCACCCACTGATCTAGCACATTATCCAGTCCATAAGGATCCCTACAAGTCTGAAAATGTGGCAGTAGGGGAGCATCTATTTTCTGACTCCTGCAGGCCAGATGGCTCACGAGGTACAAGGTCATAAGCTGAAGGGCTACAAACAGCATAGTAACAAGCATAATTAGCAGGGATCTGGGTTTTCTGTTTCCCATGGAAAAATGAAGTAAACAGCAGATTTTACCTTTTACCGGACGCAAACCTGGATTTCTCATTTTACCGGAGAAACCGGCAGATTTGGCACCTTTACAATGAGCTCCCTGCAGGCGGGCAGGAGCTAGGATCGAACGGGAAGAGGGCAGTGAGACTGAGGGAGCCACGTGTATGTACATGCACGTGGACCCAGGCAGCCTGGAGAGCAGCTCCCACAGGTAAGGAGCAGGGTGGGGAAGAAGGGGATTGAGGTCCCTGTAGGGAGGGAGGGAGCTGTGCAGGGCTGGGACTGCTGCTCAGCCAGGCGTTGCATGGGACTTGGGGCCTAGGGCTGCAACATGTGGCTGCAGGGCTCCAGTGGGGAGTAGGATGGGGCCCCAGGAGGCTCATCTGGGGGGTAGGGGTGGGGCCAGCTCCCCACTGTGCCACACACTCCCGAGGGAGTCAGTGGGAACCCATACCCCCCAGATCTGTGCACAGGGTAGGTACGAGCTGCAGGCGTGGGCTCCCACTCTGCTGCCTTACCTTGGGGCTTCCACAGCCCAGTGGGTGTGACCCGGCATGGCAGGGAACAGTGGAGCTGCATGAATAAGCTGCTCATTGCTGCAAGCTCTGCACTGCCCTGGTGATGCACCTCCTGCATGTGGCTGCAGTGAGGGCAGTGGCATGGGGTTGTGCCCCTCAAAACAGTTGTGTCCACAGGGGCTGCATCACCAGGGAAGCACTGAGCTCACAGTGGTGAGCAGCTTCTCCATGCAGCCCCGCTATTCCCTGTTTTTATTAGAGAATTTGTGATTTTTATTAGAGAATTTTCAATTTTGTATCAGGGAAAACCAAGATCCGTGGTAATTAGGTAATGGGGAGCCCCTGCCACAAAAGCAAAGACAGTTGTTTGGGAAGGGACAGAGCCAAGAATCAAGCTGTGCTCTAGGGCAGAGGAAAGCATTCTGGCCCAGGCTGTGCTCATAGAAGGAGTTTCCAGCGGCACTGTGAGAGCTGTGACTGAGGAGCACGTGGGGAGTGCGCATACAGGAGACAGTTTATGCTCGTTGCTAATTTGGGGCCAAAACCCCACCAGGCATAGATGGTTATAAGGAGAGAAAGGAGACTGTTGCAGATACTCTTAAGAGGTGCATAGTCTATTTTGAGTTTGAGTATACCAGGGAGCTGTCAGGCCCTAGCGAAGCTAATTGGGCTACCAGCCCTGGAGAAGCTGAAAATGGGTTATCAGGCCCTGAGGCGAACCAAACTAAGGGGTAAGTAGCCCGATGGACTAAACAGAGAGGCAAGGAACCCTGAAGAAACTGAATTTAGCCCAGGCAGAAGAGCCCTGTGATGAGCATGGCAGAAAAGAGCACCTGAGGTGCCACTCCAGTGATGTGAGGGTTGCCTCCCAAACTAAAGACCAAAAACAAAGGCATGGCAGAAGAGGTAGGGAGGTTGTTAGTAATCTGGAGGGCCCAAGCAAGCCCCAGCTGGCTCCCCTGGGGCATCAGTAACGTAACAGAGGCAGGAGGCCTGTCACATTTCTGTTGTCACTTAAACGTGATCCAACTCTTCGGAACTATTTGCTAAGAATGTATCTGATGTGGGAATTCTACCAATATTTCCTACAGTAAAAAAACAATTAAAATAATTAATTTAGCTTCTCTACTCCCTCATCATCATCCCTGAGTACACCTTTTTACATCTAATGATCCCACCAATTCTCTAGCTGACTTCCTACCTACTGATTCATTTAAAGAAGTTGTTATTATTAACTTTAACACCATTTTTTAAATGGTTCTCAAACTGTTTTCCCCCACCTTATTACACTTTTACACCTGGCCTAATGGAGCTTGTGGGCTCTCCTGTTTCCCTCATTTGGACATACCCTCCATTCTTTGGTGCCTTTTTGCCTTTCAAAACCCTAACATTGCTATTAAACCATGCAGGGGTTTTGCTGAATGTTTTGGTGCCTTTTTTGATTTGTGGTATTCACTTTTATTAGGCCTGTATAATAACATTTTTTCAAACATCTTTGAGGCTGTTTGCAAGTCTTTTACATTTTTGAGAGCGTTTGGCCCAGTGATATTAACAAACTTATCATGGCTTGTGAATGCCAGCAGAAGAACAATGTGACCAGGCACCTTAGACAGCTGCCATACACAGGGACAACAGAAACTTTTGATTGCTGCTGCTGTCATGATTGCATGGCTGTGGAAAAAGCCAGTGTCTTTCACCCTCCCCATCCCCACTGGCAACCAGGGAGCTCACCCTGTCACCCTGCCACTGGTGGGTGCAATACTATGTTTACTATATTGTTCTTTCAAATGTGGACTCACCAACTCCACTCAGTACAGATATCAGAATTGTATTTGGAATTAGTATGTGAAATTCCAGAGTGGAATTTGTAATTTGTAGTTGGAGAGGCCAACGAAGGGCCATGCTCTTCTTGATCTGTTGCTCACAAACAGGGAAGAATTGGTGGGGAATGTAGTAGTGGATGGAAACTTGG